GGCCTCTGCAGAACATTTTCCACACAGTCGCCATCAATTAACTTGTCAGTGTGTAAATGTTTATGTAATGCATGCAGTAACTTGTGTTATTGGGTGTGTGGGTTTCCTGCTGCAGCTGATTACTGGTTTACTCAAAATATGGTCTGTGTGCATAGAAGTGGGACGACAACAAATTACACTCCCGGCGGGTTTAATGGAGCTTTAAAAAGAATCATCGTGGACAACCAGATGTGCGTGCATTGACGCAACACTGAAGTCTCATGCGCGGCGCGGGCTAAATTTGGACTATGTCATGTAAACATGTGTCGCCGAAATGTCAGAGCTAAAAACGGAGCTGAAAGTTGCTAACTGCAGATTATTTGATCACCAGGCAAATGCCTATTGAGGGAAGTGCCTTTTAACGGGGCACCTGTTTGGTTATTAACTCGGTGGTTTTATGGCCTGAAGGCTAACTGTGGCCATTATCCACTCGGTGTGATGGCTATTAGCTTGTCAGTTTGAATGCATTGCCTGCTCGTCCCTGTTCTTCACACTCTTCTGTCAAAGTAAACAGGAGGCCCACAGTGTGCTGATGAAGGCCTGATGATGACATCACTCTCAGGTTCTATCATTGTCACTTGTAGTTTTTTTAACCAATCAGATTAAATGATGTCATTATATTTAAAAAAACAACAACATTCATTTAGATTGATCTAAATCCACCAAGACATTTGGTAGGAAAAAAGGTGTGACTTCTCCAAGTTTGTCCTGAATGCATCTCCAGATTTGGTAACAAAGTCAAAATATATCTATAAGTAAAGTCTGTGGACATCTTCCTTATCATGGACTTGGATTAGAGACAGACAACTAAGAAGACATCTCTCTAATTCATGTTTTAACAGCAAACACAGTTGCCTCAGGTTTTGGACCAGAAGTAGTGACAGCATCATTAGCTAGCATGTTTTTTTTTTTTATCAAACTCCGTCATCTCCTTAGGGTTAACGTCACAATATCAATGGTATCATACATTTAACCATATACTAAAATGGGCAGCACATTATACATACAGTTGCATTGTCAAAAACCATGACTAGTGTGTTATTTAAACTGATCAACCACGTGTCAAACTCAAGGCCCGGGGGCCAAACGCGGCCCGCCGAGTCAATGTGTATGGTCTGCGGGAGCTTTAAAAGCATTTAATAAAGTCTATGCGACGAACGGGGGGGGGGGGGGGGGGGGGGGGGGGGAGGGGAGAGG